GAATAGTCTTAGGCCACATCTGACCTATCTGGGCAGGCCAAAGAAGAGGGCTCCTTATCTCTATAGCAAACTCTCTGTCTCCCCAACTTCTTTCCCCAATCTTCCCTGGCACAAACCCAAGCTCTAAGAAATGCCCAAACCCAGCCTAGACATTGATTGTTAGGAAAACAAGGCAATATTTAGAGGGGAATTTTGAAATAATGTTGGCTTAGTGAAAAATGCATGAAGTAGGAGTCAGAAGATCTAAATTCTATCTTAGGCTCTACCACTGTCTAAGTAGGACATACCACTTCACTCTGGACACCAGGGCTAGTATACAAAAAGAAAAACAGTAAAATGCCCTCTAAGATCCTCTTTCAGTCCTGATATTCTACATTGTCCTATGTCTCTGGCTTTAACTTTCTTATCAGGCCAATTAAAAATGACAAAAGCATCAGTTTACCAAATATGCTATTTACCAAATGAAGACTAGTTGGAAGCGGATACAAAAACAAAGGATAAAAGTTGTTGTCCAAGGAAAACTGGTTTAGGGAGCTATAAATTTAGAGTCTTCATCAGTAATTATGTAGTAAAGTAGAATACAAATGATGAAAGACTATCTTAAGTTACAGATCCAAAGATACTAATTTTAAAAAACAGGGCAGCGCCTGTGGCTCAGTGAGTAGGGCGCTGGGCCCATACCCCAAACCAGCTCCGGCCTAACTGCAACAAAAAATAGCCAGGCGTTGTGGCAGGCGCCTATAGTCCCAGCTACTCGGGAGGCTGAGGCAAGACAATTGCCTAAGCCCAAGAGCTAGAGGTTGCTGTGAGTTGTGACACCATGGCACTCTACCAAGGGCAACAAAGTGAGACTCTGTCTCTAAAACAAAAAAAAAATTTTTCTAACACAACTTTTGTTTAAAATCATTAGAAATTCTTTTTTTTAATCTCAAAGTATTATGTGGGTACAAATGTTTAGGTTACATTGTTTTCAATTCTAAGGTAAAGTTCAAGTTGTAGTTTAGCCCTTCATCCAGGGGATGTGCTGGACACCCTCGCATTTGCACATTAGGTGAGATCCTGCCAGCTGTCCTCCTTCTTCCCTACTTAGAGATTCTTAATAGAATGTAAGGCAACATGGCTCATGCCTGTAATCTTAGCACTCTGGGAGGTCAAGGCGAGTGGATTGCTTGAGCTCATGAGTTCGAGACCAGCCTGAGCAAGGGCAAGACCCTGTCTCTAAAAAGTAGCCAGGCATTGAGGCAGGCACAGCTACAGTCACAGCTACTTGGGAGGCTAATGCAAGAGGATTACTTGAACCCAAGAGTTTGAGGTTTCTGTGAGCTACGATGCCACAGCACTCTACCCAGGGTGACAAAGTGAGACTCTGTCTCAAAAAATAATAAATTGAAATAGAAAAACTAGCTGGCTGGGCACCTGTAGTCCTAGCTAGTCAGGAGGTTGAGGCAGGAGGATGACCTGAATATACGAATTTGAGGCTTCTCTGACCTAGGCTGACACCAGGGCACTTTAGCATATGGTAACAGATTCTGTCTCAAAAACAAAAGAAGAAAGAAGAGGTAGAATGCTACACTAGAAAGGGCAGTGAATGAGATAACGTAGAGCTCTGGGTTCTAGCTCAAGATCTGCAACCATTTATATGAACCTGAACAAGTCACAATATTTCGGGGTTTCAGTTTCTTCAACTAGCAAATGAGATAATTAGAGAGGTAAGTTTGTTACCTGTCTAAAATTTTAAGATTTAAACATTTCTTTTCAGATGGCACCACTCTCTAGAAGGCTCAGAGAGCTTTTAATAAGAGTTTGTTCCGTTTATAAAATGCTTTCTAATTTAAAAACACTTTAACACTTATCTAAGAACACTGCAGGATATAAATGAGCATCACCAATACAGACTTAAATGTCCATAGCAGAAAAGGGAAACAGAAGATCAGTAACTCATAAAAAGGCTTCAGATAAACTCTGGTATGCTGACCACTGGTCCTCATTGATTTTCAATCCTATACTCTTTCTTAGTCATTGTAAAGAGTCATATATTAATAAACATAGCAACAATTATTTTAATTGTGGTATGAAAAAAAGAACATTGGATATGCAGTCCAATTTGGATATCCTGCAATCACTTTCCTCACCAGTGAAGGGGGAGTCAATAATTAATCTATCTTTTGGCCTACTATTAGAATGAGCATAAAATGGGAACAAACCTAACATCATAATTGTGAAAACTAAAGATATGATATAACTGCATTAAACACAACTGCATTAAACACAGTCCTTCAACACAAAGGGGATTGGTAGTATCTTTAGAACTACCACCTCATTCAAAACTCTCACCACAGGCTTGGCGCCTGGGGCTCAAGCTGCTAAGGCACCAGCCACATACACCTGAGCTGGTAGGTTTGATTCCAGCCAGGCCCACCAAACAGCAATGATGGCTGCAACCAAAACTGTCACCACACACATTCTAGAGTTCCTTCACCTTCAGTGGTCTCCTCTTCTACTTTTGAACCTAACTTTCTTTGCAGGACCAGAAGAAAGCAAAAGAGTTACAATGGTTGTCTCTCATATTTTATAATTTTACGAAAAAGCCACTGCTTTTTCAGAAAATTTTAGTATACTCTTTGTACGAAGGCACCCTGCAAAGCACTAGATCTGGAAACCTGCATTCAATTCTTAACTTTGCCACTAACTAATTTTGTTCAAGGAACTCAACTTTTCTTTGTCTCAGTTTCCTTGGGTATAAAATATAGCAGCTAGCTTAGGTAACATTTAAAAGAGCTTTTTCAAGCCACATCAGTCTAGGTCAAGAGTAGACTAACATCTAAAGTGTAGACTAACATCTAAAATGTAGACTAACATCTAAAGAGTAGACTAACATCTAAAATGTAGACTAACATCTGAAGAAACAAGGATAAATAAATTTACTATCATGTATCTGTCCTTTCAAAATGAGAAATCAATCTGATGTCAACCTTTAAATCAGTCTTTTAAAAACAACCATTCACTTCTTACATCAAGACACATCCTGCTGTCACTTGCTGAAAAGCAGCAGCTTTTGGATTTGGCTGTTTCTGTAACAAGGAACAGCCAGGAAGATGATGGTCAATTAAAATTAAATCCACGTAAGAACTGATTCTTAACATAGAATGTATTTGACCTACAGCATTCTGCAATGGTGGGAACAGAAGTAGGAGTGAGGAGAAGAGGAATTAACTCTTGGTATAACATTATGATTCTAATTCATCCTAAAATACGGTGAGCCTTAAGAGAGATTTACATGCCCATGCCCTCAAATAATTTACTGTGAAACTTATCCATGAGGCCTCCATGTTTTAGCACCTGAATTTCTCCTTTTGCATAATGAGATAAGTACTCTCGGTCTGTTAATACAGAATTATGTAGTTTAAGAGAGGGAATGTTGGCTCGGCGCCTGTAGCTCAACCAGCTAAGGCGCCAGCCACATACACCTAAGGTGGCAGGTTCGAATCCAGCCCGGATCCGCCAAACAACAATGACGGCTGCAACCAAAAAATAGCTGGGCGTTGTGGTGGGCGCCTGTGGTCCCAGCTACTTGGGAGGCTGAGGCAGGAGACTCACTTGAGCCCAGGAGTTGGAGGTTGCTGTGAGCTGTAATGCCACGGCACTCTACCCAGGGGGACAGCTTGAGGCTCTATCTCCAAAAAAAAAAAAAAGAAAGAAAAAGGGAATGTTCCAAGTTCAGCACCGTTATATCTTAACCTTATCTTACCTGAAGGTTAAAGCTATCTCTTGGTGGCACCCATAGCTCAGAGGGTATGCAGGCCACACACCCCAAGGCTGGCGAGTTCAAACACAGACCCGGCCAGCTAAAACAATGACAACAGCAACCAAAAAAAATAGCCAGGCGTTGTGGCAGGCGCCTATAGTCCCAGCTACTTGGGAGGCTGAGAAGAGAGAATCACTTAAGCTCAAGAGTTTGAGTTTGCTGTGAGCTATGAAGCCAAGGCACTGTACCCAGGGTGAAGCTGGAGACTCTGTCTCAAAATAAATAAATAAATAAAATAAAGCTATCTCTTAAATACAGTGTAACCAAAATTACTACTGAGAAGCCTTAAATCACCAGAACTTATGGTTCTGGAAAACTCGCAGACTAAAAATTAATTTATTTTATTTCTCTTCATATTTGTGCTAGGGCTTTGCTTTCTCTGGGACAATATAGTCCAAGGTCTACTTCAAAAGAGACAGGTCAGAACACTGGCTAAATATGGCAGTATCTCTTTTTATAAATAGTTAAATTAGCATAAGTTAAACATTCAGTGCAAGCTACTGGCAGAAAGTGGACAAGCCCATTACCCTGTTGCTATTAACAAAAAAAATAAAAAGAACCTTCAAAACTCTAATACGAGCAACTGGGGGGAAATCTCCAGTTTTATTGCTTTCCTTGCATCTCAAAAATCACTTCACCTGTGACTCTCAGCTAAAAGGAGGTAAACAATATGGTACTTTCGGGAACCAGGGTACTAATTCCAACCATAAGCAAACATTTCAGGGGCACACAGTTTCAAAACTTGGGAGTCAATACACCTGCAACAGAAAAGGGTCAACTTTGGAGTTGTGCTCCTGGCCAACAATGAAGTTGTGTGAGAAGGCATGACATGCAGACATGGACACACATTGTGCACGTCACGTTACCTTGGGCCGTGGGTCACCGCCGGGGGCCGGGGGGAGGGGTGTTGGCATTTTGCATGAGAAATCCCCACTGCACACACAAGAAAGCCTCACACCCCGGAACCTGGGCGAGGGACACTTCAACGACGCAGCAACTAATAGGGCTCCGCCATGTGCCACAGACCCAAAAACTTCTGAGGAAAGCAGAAATGCCCACATGGGAAGTGCAGAAAGAATCTCCAACACGAGGGGGACCGATGGCAAAGGGAGGCTCCAGACCACCCAGGAAGGAGAAGGGGACTACAGCTCTGAGACGGTAAGGAAGCTACCGCCCAGCTGCGGAGCAGTGTTACCTGACGGACGACATGCCTTCACCTTCCTGCCCCAAGCCACAACGCCCGCGTCCGATGCTCTGCGTCCGCCCCGGCAGCTGCAGGTAATACGGCAACTGCTCGGCTGCTCAGGCTCTCAGCAACTGGGAGCGCGTCCTCACACACCCCGCGCGCGAGCCGCCCCGGGCGAGCCGGCTCCGCGCGCTGATTGGCCGCCGCCTGAGGGAGGGCGGGCACTCCGCCCCCGGGCGGACGGCTGGAGGTCTGCCCGGGGCGCAGTGGATCGAGGCGAGCAGCCCGCGCGTCTCGTGCAGGTTCGCTGGCCCGCGGGCTAGCGGGCTGGCTAGCGGGCGTGGTGGCCATCTTGAGTCCCGGTAACAGCATCCCCCGCTGCCCCCCTGAGGCTCCCAGGGCGTGGGGTTGGGTGCCCGCCTCAAAAATGGCCGCCCCTGTGGCAACTGGTTTAGCAGTCACATGGCCACCGTGTAGCTCTGCAAGCTCAGGTCTCTTTAACGGCACGCGGGACGCTGTCAGGACAAATCTTCAAGGATGGGGTTTAAGAGCCTGCAAAATCCATTTGCAGGAGGGGGAGAAAAAGAAAACCTCCTGGCAAGCCTCAGCCTGGGGAAAATCGAACACGTGGCAACAGCAACATGACGTGCTAAATGCCTTTGAGAGTCAATTGCTGAATATGATGATCCCAAACGTTCTTGGAACTTCAGAAACACTTAAAGCGGTTTATTTAACATAGAACTGTCAGGGGTTCACTCTAAACTTCAGGAATCGGAATCAACAAAGGTGAGGCCCAGACATTGGTATTTTAGCATGTACCTGGAAAACCCAGCTACACGGAAAATTTTACAACCTTTGGGCCAAACTAGCACCATTCAGACTATCTTATTTGCCACATTTGCCTCACTTTCCTGAAAAGGATGCGGGCTATAAATCAAACATCTAAGGCTATAGGGGAAAAACTGGAAGATATCCTAACTCCTGGCTCTAACTTTACAAGTTTGTGCGATAAAGGGCTAAGAAACTGACCGTGAACCACTAATGGAAGACGGCTAAATTAATTCCAAAGGGAGGGGGGCAGTAAATCAGTAAATGCTTTATGACACAAATAGCTTTTCTTTATTCTTTCTTTATTCTCTATACAAAAATATTTGTATTATTAGACTACATCATGCTGCGGCATCCATTTACTTATCCTATAGGATGTTTTATCAATTTTAAGTCTGAAATCAGTTAACTTATAAACACAACCAAACACCAGGTGATACTGAAATGTAGCTGATGAGACAGAAAAACTGCATTTATTTGATTTCAGTTCGTTTAAAGTTTAGAAGTAAAGCAATATAAAATATTTTCCCATTAAACAGTTTTATTGTTTTGGTTGGACTACATTTCACTTTTTTTAACTATTGAAAATTTAACATCCAGTCTGGCACAGGAGCTCACGCCTGTAATCCTACCACTTTGGGAGACAAGACAGGAGGGTCCCTTGAGACCAGCCTGACAAAAAGCAAGAACTCCTGTCTACTGAAAATAGAAAAAAGTAGCTAGGCCTTGTACTCACAGTCACAGTTACTGGTAAGGCTGCAGCAGGAGGGATCCCTTGGGCCCAGGAATTTGAGGTTACTGTGAGTGAGGCTAATATCATGGCACTCTAGCCTGGGGTAACAGAGTGAGACCTTGTCACAAAAAATAAATAAATTAATTAATTAACATAGAAATTTAGACATGAAGAGTATACACATACTGGATTTTTTAAGATTTAGTATAAAAATATGAAATATCTATTAATTTTCATATTGATATGTTAGATATACCATGTTATATTAGATATATATTATTAAGATTAAACTGTTTCTTTTTGCTTTTTTTTTTTTTTTTTGAGACACAGTCTCAAGCTGTCGCCCTGGGTAGAGAGAGTGCTGTGGCACTGCAGTTCACAGCAACCTCAAACTCTTGGGCTTGAGAGTTTTATGACACAAATAGCTTTTCTTTATTCCCAAATAGCTGGGACTATAGGCGCCTGCTACTTTTTGTTGTGGTTGCCACTGTTGTTTTAGCTGGCACAGGCCAGGTTGTAACCCACCAGCCTCAGTGTATGTGGCCAGCACCCTACCCACTGAGCAACGGGTGCCACTTCTTTTTACTTTTTAATGTGGCTACTAGAAAATTTATGTGTCCTGCATTATATTTCTACTGGACAGTGCTGTTCTACAATCTAAGTTAGCATTCTTTTCTTATCTATCACTGCCCTGTAACAGAATAATTATGTTCACAAAATTAAATTAGTAAAAGGCGAAAGATTGTATAATACGAAGAGAAACCAGATTATCACAAAATGAAATTTGTAAGGAACCTAGTTTATACAAATCTGTGTTTCCTTGCTAATCACATAAAACATCAAATATTTCAAACGACTTTAAGGTTCCTTAGAAAATGCGATGTCTAAGTGATGATAAAGTATGTCTGAGGATAAAACAAAAAAGAAAATGCTATTTTTAGCACTATTCTCTTTAATTTGGGAAATGCCTATCCAGAATGACACCACAAATTGAAATCTGATATGTTAAAACAATGAGCTATATATACTTGGCGTGGTGAGACTTGGACCAAATGTCCACAAGCAGAATTAGCCAATTGTTCCTCTGGATTAAATAGGCCCCAAAACCAAGATGCAGCTGGACAGCAATCTGAAGTGGTGGAGACACTGATTCAAGACTTACCCTCCTCCTCTTGTGGAAAATGTTAATAGTTAACTCACATAAATTTAAACTATCCAAAAATAATCCTTAGGATTTCATAACGTCAATTTAACTTTTAATATGGGGCATAGTATAGGGTAAACCAGTGCTTCTCGAACTTTAATAAGCATACAAATCACTTGGGGAATCTTGTTAAAATGCAGGTTTGATTCAATAGGTCTTCCACCCAGTCTTTCTTCATACGTGTACACACGCACACACACACACACACA